GCATTTAACTCAGTGTTGTCAGAGTGATTTTTGTTTGACTGCACTTCAGTCCAGAACAGTACATCCATTACTCTGTTATAAACTTTGTGGATTGTGACATCTCGAGATTCCAACAAAGTGATTAAGTCCATCGGTCCTGTGTCATTCTTGGCAACAGACTGAACTTCCTCGTTTAGCTGAGAATCATTTTGAAGGGTTGAAAGGTCTGTTAAAACTTGCGTTTTCAGTGTCAGTGTGAGCTCTTCTGAGACAAACTGAGTAGTACTTCGGATGAGCTGCATAGTATTGTGCAACCTGAAACCATGAATTCCAATGAGTAACTACTGGCTCTGGGGGAAGTGCAATTTTTTGTTCCCGGATTTCAGTCATTTCAGTTGCATTTGCAATGTTCTGCCTGTGTCGAGGTTTGCAACTAGGGCAGCGTTTAAAAAATCATTTTATGTGGCTGATCAGTTTATCAACTTTACCAAACTTGCATCTGCACAGCTTACTGACAAGAGAAATTACATGTGCATTACATGTAATATGGACAACATTTCACACTCGACATTGGAGAACAGATTTGAAGGATTTCATCATGTAAGTTGCCTTGTTGCTTATGATAGCAGATAGTTTGTTAAAGTCTGCACCGTATTTTGAAATGGTTTTAATTTATCATTTGAGAAATTGTGCTGTAGTTAACAGCATCAAAGGCCTGGTCTGCACTGGGGGAGGGGGGAAATCGATCTAAGTTATGCAACTTCAGCTACGTGAATAACGTAGCTGAAGTCGACGTACTTAGATCTACTTACCACGGTGTCTTCTCTGTGGTAAGTTGATGGTTGACACTCTTCCGTTGACTCCGCCTGTGCCTCTTGCCCTGGAGTACCGGAGTCGACGGGAGAGCGCTCGGCAGTCTATTTATCGCGTCTAGACTAGACGCAATAAATTGACCCCCGCTGGATCGATCACTGCCCGTTGATCCAGTGGGTAATGTAGACAAGCCCTCTGTGAATGTAGCTGGTAAGCATTGTTGTTAGCTTTCCTGTCTGTACATCTTCAGCCTTGTCAGAACTCTCAACTGTCACCTCTTTCAGGCAGACACCTGCATCTCTCCCCATCCAGGCTAGTAATTTAGGCTTGAAGTCCTTCTGTATCTCATTGTGATTTACTCAGCAGGTTTGACTTATGTCCAGTATCTGTGGGTATCCTTTCTCTAAGGGCTACAATAATTTGTACCAGTTACCAACCGGCCCTCACAAAGCAAAATACATTTATTCTTAGAGTACAAGCATTAGAGAGAAAACATAAAACACAATAAAAGGTCCTGTATTAGTGCTAAAAGCTCACCAGAGGCCACCCATCAGTCCTAGGGGGCCCTAATAAGCTAAAATCTTTCCAACCCTTTTGCAAGGGTTGGGGTCCCCATTTGAAAAGAAGGTCCTGTCTGTTTGCTGAATCAAAAGAAGGCCCTATGTCAGTTTAAATTCAAACTTAATATACCAAAATCCCTTTGTCTGGTAGCCTCTGGAAAACCCAGTTTGAACCAGTAAATGTAAGCATCTCCAGGGGGTGGTACCTCTCTGGAGCTGTTTAAAAACATAGTGATTCCTCTTGATCACCACTTCACTGTATTTGATTCCTGGACAAGCTGTGGTAACTCTCCCCACCCCTTTGAGCTGCATACAACCCCTGCCCACAGTGATATTTAAACCATTCATAAACTCAGCACAATATGGTCCCTGAAGATATCGCATGGGGTTGCAAAATCTGTCACACCAACTGTCCCTATATGTTGAAACATCCGTTGGAGCACGTTGCCACTGCTTCAGAAGCAGCTACCATACACCACAGGCCCAATGTAGAAAAACAGAGGAGGAAACCTTAAAATGGAAGCACACTGCACCTCTATGCCCTGTACACATCCAAATCATGTCAGGGCCGGGAACACTCCTCTGCATCGAAGAACTCAAACCTGCTCCCCGATAATGCCTCCCCCAACTACCATTCCCCTCTATCCTGCCCAAGCATAAGCCATCTCATGGGGATCGGTTTCCTCATTTCTCATGAGGTTTTGTTCTGCTCTCCTTCCCCCCCCCCCAGGAAGGTTAAAAACTATGTGACAAACAAGCAGAAGGGAAAGGTTTTGGGGGGAAAGAATTACTCCTTCTGTATCCTCAGCATCCTATGGGCAGACATAAGAAAGAGGAAAATCATCCAACCACAGTGAAAAATGAGGCCTTTTTTTTTTTTTTAAATGGAGATATCCTGTCTCCTAGAAGTGGAAGGGACCTTGAAAGGTCATTGAGTCCAGCCCCCTACCTTCACTAGCAGGACCAAGTACTGATTTTACTCCAGCTCCCTAAGTGGCCCCTTCAAGGATTGGGCTCACAATCCTGGGGTTAGCAGGCCAATGCTCAAACCACTGAGCTATCCCTCTCCCCCCAAGGCCCTAGGTTGCAGCAGTTTCCAAGCTACCTTTCCCTGGCTTGTGGGAGCTCAGCTCCCTCAAAGCTCCTCCCCCTCTGCTGCTGAGAGGAGGACTTGTCAGGCAGGGGAATCTGAAGTAAAAGATTAGACAGACAGACTAATCTACTTTAATCATTGTAATGCTGCTTCTCACCTATTTCCAGAGGTACCCATAATAAATTTTAACAGTGGGTTATCCCTTTCTTCCAAAAATATGTTTCCTAATTATAGTAACTATGTAGACATGTATATTTTTTCTGTTATACGCTTATTAATTCATTATATTTTCCCCATTATTTCATAATGAAGTTTCATTATACAGTGAGCTTTGGCTGAGGACCTCCACAACTGCCCTAGGAGCCACAAGCATTCAGTGATTAGTCAGACATACTGTGACTTGGTAAGTAAATTCCTCCTGTCATCAGTCTGGTGACAGGAAGGATGAAGATAGTGACAGTTGGCAAGGGAGACAAAGAGACTAAGTTGCAAGTGGCAGGCAGTTTAATTTCACATACCTATACTGTATGATAAAAATGTCATTAATAATTCTATTCATATCATTATTTGCACATTTTAAAATTCATAGGATTTATTTCTTTAAATTACACTTTATCATGAACATCAGAACAAAAGTGGAGCTGAACTTGCATGTTATTAACCTATCAGATAGAACAATGATTATTTATTGAGGTATGCATAGGTGGTAAGAATAGAAAAAATAGAATCTCAGAGTGCTTGTTGAGCCAAATTCAGAACCAGCAGAAAGGGGTGCGACTCCATAGAAGTCAATGAAGCTGTACCCCTAACACCAACTTTGTCCCTTTATCTATAAAGCATCCTGTACCTGTAGCAGAAAATCTTGTTCATTTGGAAAGAAGAAAAAGTCACCCAGTAATCATCATAACACAGGGCAGTGTTTGTCTGCCTTTCAAGTTGGTAAATCTTTATATGTCATTAGTTCCTTACATTTACTGTAAAATTAAAAGGTGTATTAAAGATAAAAGTGCTAAGCAGTAAAATTCGTGTGTGTGTTTCTAGAGGTTGATAGACAATAGTTGTCCTTGAATGGTAAGTTTGTGCAGGGAATGGGAGAATAGGATCTCCTTTGCTTTAGTTTGTAATACATTTTTCAATGCCTCACAACCCCTTAGAGTAGAATGCCTTCCATAAACCATGTGGGAGGTCATATCCCACTGGTTGAAAACAGGGCACAAGATGTGTTGTACAAGAATATTCTGGATGCATGAGAGGTAAGGAAGTATTCCTTCCTTCAACAAGGCACTTAAGTCCATGCTTAACTTAAACTTAAATTGTCTGACACAAACTCTTATTAAGAATATTGCCTAATATTAAATAGGAAAATAATAGCACACAAGATATATGATATCCAGTATCATATAAAAAGAATTAGGAATAACCATGGATAGATTTGGAAAAAAAGAACCTTAAGTCATACGGATATAATAAATTGTGTTAGATTTAATTTCACCTGTAAACTAAGGCTCCAATTCTGAAAACACAGCGTACCTTTATGCACAGGATTAGTGCTTGTTGGCTAAAAGAGAAGTACATGCACAAGTATTTATGGGATTTGGAATTAAGGAAAACCTATTAATTATAGCTGCAGAATTGACTTTAGCTTTTGCACATGAAAAAGTAGAGACAATATTTATAGATTCTAAGGCCACATAGGACCATTGTGATCATCTAGTCTGACCTCCTGTATAGCATTGGCCCTAGAACTTCCCCAAAATAAGTCTTAGAGCAGATCTTTCAGAAAAAAGTCAATCTTGAAACATTAAAGTAAATGCATTTTACAGCTACTGTGTGTGGATAAATGGAACTTGTCATGATCTTAATTTATAATAAGGGTTGCTTCATATGCTGCTCTGTGTCGGCACAACAAGAACATTTCAAAGGCACCATAGTACCATCAACTTTCCTCTAATGAAATTCCATAAAATAATATTTTCTCTCAGTAATATACATTAATTAAGGCTGTGTCCCATCCTTGACATTCTAACAACAGGAGAAAAGTCACTCAGGCATTGCTAACATGTTTATGATAATACTTTGCGCCTGCCTACCCTTTGCTGTGGCAATGCAAAATGATGGAGAGCTGTCTTAACAGGGTACAGGTCATTCTGAGGATCCCCTGACAACGGGGGAAATCTCTGGCTTGCATGAAGGTGGTACAGCCATCCCTATATCATCCCATTGACTCTTATTCCCTCCTCCCCTCAGAAATAGGGGACATTCTATGTCATCTTGGGAAGGAAGGGTTGGAACCATAGTGTCTCAGTCTCTAGTCCTTACTCAGTCCTCGGTCAGTACAGCAGCTCTGTTGTAGCCAGTATAAAGTAGTTTTCCTGGGGGCTGTTTTGGTCTCTGCTCAGTGTAGGGATCAGGGGAGAAGAGAAGTAGATTAAAGCCACCGTTACTCCAGAACTAGGTGGCATTCTGAACAGAGTTGACCCAGACCTGGAGATCTGGCCCATTATATTTATATATCACCTTTCATTTTGAAAAGATTTCTCAAAATATATACATACCACATAATTGAGATGCAGTCATCTTTGGGATACAGCCAAATCAGCATGCTGTACAACACCAGGATGAAAGGACAAAACCCTGGTTTTCTGAAAATGACCACAAGAGAAAATGATCTGATTTTTGCAGGGGGTTAGACTACATACCTTTGCAGTCCCTTCTAAGTCCCTAAGGTTCTATAATTCTATGATTACTTATGCAGCACAGTTATGCTCATATTTAGGGTTTCCTCTGAAACCCCATCTATAATGAGTTGCATGTCATTAAATGTAATTAACTCCAATGGAATGTGGGTCAATTTTTCTATGATCTGAATACATTATTCTAGGTATTCCCGATATAATGCTTAGCTAACTGATCTGCACTGGTGAGGTAACCACACACGCTTCGAGTTCTTCCTCAGCTTTTGTGATTCTGTTCATTCTTGTTTTCCCCTGGACCTCTCTAATCCTTTTGACGGCATTATTATTCAAACACTCCTCCTCTTCCTCACTTCAACTTTCTGTGGGGGATTCCATAGGTTTCCGGTCTTGGCCTCCTCCTCTTTTCCCTGTGTGCCTTATCTCTTGATGATCTCATTCTAAACATGACTTTAACTATTGTCTTTATGATGTTAAGTCAGATCTACTTTTCCTTCTTGACCTGTTTGTTCCATCTAATCTAAAATCTCAGCCTGTTTTTTTTTTTGATATCTCCTTGTTCATCTCCAACTGATGAAGTAAGCTCAAAATGACCAAAACTGAGGCTGTGATTTTTATCTCCATGCTGCCCTCCTTTCCCCCTTTCTGAGACACCATCCTCCCGCAAGCCCATAACCTATGCACCCTCTTTGACTCTGCCCTCTCTCTATCCAGGACATATCTAAATCTTGCCACTTCTTTGATCATGTCTCTAAAATATAGCATCTCTTCTCTGTTATGAATGCTAAAACTCTGGTCCAGATCCCATTATATCTTGAGTACTGTAATCTCCTCCTTCCTCCCATACTGCACATTATGCATGAGAGGAACTCCCTATAAAGTCTACAAAGCTATTACATATGCCTCCTTTATATCTGTTCCTAAAACTTACCTCTGCCATGATGCTTTCAAAACACTTGACAATGGCTAGTATGTGCGACTGAAGCTTATTACATTTGTTATAACAACTTCCCCATTACCTTGTGCTCCCTTCATCCACTTGTTAGACATACTTGTTGTCCTTCATTATATACTAAAATTGTAAGGTCTTCAATGCAGGGACTGTCTTTTCATGATATATTTGCACAAGGCTTAGCACATAGGGTCCCATTCACTGGCTACTGCAATAATAACAAAAGGCCTATAAATACTGGTTTGGTACCCAGCAGGCAATAGTCCGCCAAGCCAACCCAATATGTACAGTACAGGCAAAGTTCTAATTATTATGAATGGCATAAAATGGTCCTGAGAAGAGCTGATCCACAATGCAGGCTCCTTGCCCAGCAGGGTGTTCTGTTGGAGGTGAATGACCCCAGGTCAATATCATGCAATTGTCTAAACAACACAAGTAAACTAGAGATTGATATTGACAAAAGAGTGAAATGGACTCAGTGCAAATCTAGAAGTGATCTGATATTGGATTTTGGCCAAACTAGGAGAGTGAGCCCAGAGGAAACAAATTCTCCAACACTGGAAGGAAACAACAACAATACTGAGAAAGAAATGGACTCGTCAGATAATAGAGCTTTAGTCCAAAGAGGAGAATTTACACAACTGGAGATTGAAGCCTGAAAAGAGAGATTTGTGGTATTGAACTATGTGCAGACATATTGGTAGCAGCAATGATACAGGATAAAAAGCAGCCAAAAATGGAAGATATATTGAGAACAAATGTGAGTGAAACAGCATGTGAAGAAAGTATGGGAATATGAATGATTTGCTGATTGAGATCGTAATGGAGACTGAGCACGGACCAATACTGTGAAATATGAAATATGAAGATCAGCAAAACTGGGTGCTATACAGCAAGCATGAATGAAGCACTCAAGGAGGCTGTAAGACCAATGAGTATTAGTGAGTTAAGTGATATAATTTATGCCACAGCAACATTGGCTTAAGCTCAAGCCAGCAGAGGATGTGAACCACCAGAAAATTCCCTACATCCAGTCACCTCCATGGAAACAAAGGTTAACCCAGAAGATTCAGATTTTTCACTGAGATATCAACCCATTGGATGAATATGAGAAAAGGTCATTTGAAGATAAAACAGAAGTGAACAGCCCTGGAGAAGAAATATCAGCGGAATGAAAGGGATGTGTGTGTGTGAAGGAAAAATGTAAACAGAAGCAGATTGCAATGATTCATAGGTGTGCAAGACATTCAGCATGAAGCTGTCAATCTGAACAGATCAGACTCTTCTTGAAGGACCCTAAAAGATTAACTTTGATCTGATCAAAGTTAAAAGCAGAACAATAAAAAATAAAGAGCCAATATATAATGTGAAAGAGTTTCAGCACTAGTGGAAGAAAAAATACACAACATAATCAGGCAGTGGACTGGATTAAATATGTGAGAAAAAAATCAAAAACCAAACAATAGAGCAACATACAGGAATATCAAAGAAATAAATATGAGGTACTGAGAGAAATGGAAAATTGGAAGTCATCCAGACCAGATGAGAGCACATGGATTCTGGCTGAAATGCCCACCAAGTGTCCATGATTGTTTACTTGAAATTAATAAATGTTTGAAGAATAGATATCCAAGATAGCTGGTGACATGGAGAACCATCCTCATACAATAAAAGAAAGAAGGCTTCAGTGATTATATGAATTACAGGTTGATCACATGTTTTCCAACTATGTGGAAACTTCTAACTGCAATTCTGGCAAAGAAGAGTCAGATAGTAGCTCACAATTAAATGTTGCTTCCTGAACAAAAATGCTGCACAGTAATCCCAAAAAGCACAAAAGACCACCTCAGGTTGAACAGGAAGCTCACAGAAGATGCAAAACAATAAAAAAATAGAGAGGGTATGGACAGACTTTTGAAAAGCCAAAGAACATTTCTTTTCTGTAGCAGCCAACTTGACTGTACTTGGAACGGACTCTCTTTGATGAGGTCCAAGTTAAAAGTGGAACCTTTCAAGGAGATACCTTATCACCATGTTGCTCATGGTAGCGATGCTGCTGCTGCTGACATGGACGCTGTGTGATAAATGATGTTTATCATATCAGCAGAGAGCAGCAACCCTACCACTTAACCATTTGTTATACAGTGACAATCTGAAACTGTATGGATGGTCGCAAAAGGAGATACAGAGATTGATGTGTAGAAAAGTTTAGTGAAGATATAAAGTACAGGTTGACTTGGCTAAACGTGTGCAGGTAAGAGTTTGCAAGAGGAGCAAACTGGTATAATCAGATGGCATACAAGTTAATGAAGTTACTCTCCAAGATATCTCTGAACCTGGCCCCCACAAATACTTTGGAATCAGAAAACCGTCAGAGTTACAACATAAGGAAGTGAGGAAAGAATATTACTGTCAAATAAGAACTACTCCAAGGACAAAATTCAATTCAAATAATGTGATCTGAGCCATTAATATGTCAATGATATCAGAAGTATGATACACTGCCAGAGTGATCAAGGGGAATCAGGAGAAGAAAAATTTGACAACCAAACAAGAAAGCTCCTGGGTGATACACAGAATAATGAATATCAATAAAGACATGGACAGGATATACATCTGACAATGTGATGGAGGAAAAGGTCTGCTATATGTGGAGGAAGCAATTGACAACTAAGAATATAATATCAAAATATAAGAGTTAGCCTGAATAAAAGATCATAAGGTCATGACAACAAGAAAAGGCTAAGCCCAAGAAAACAAAAGAAAGGAAAGAGCAAGTCGCCAAAAAAAAAAAAAAAAGAACTCAGAAGATTTGCACAGAAATCAATGCACAGACTGTGGTGGAGAATAAGTGGAGATTAACAAACTCATGACTTGTAAAAGGATACCTCAAAAGAGAGATAGAGAGGCTCATTATGAGTGCACAAGAGCAGTCCTTAAGGCTTAATTACGTTCAAAACAAAATTGACTGATAACTGCTCCCAGGACTACAGAATGTGTGTCAAAAAGGAAGAGACAGTGGATCATGTGTCGAGTGGCTGCAGGAGCCTGGCTGGGAGAGAATATATGAACAGACGCAATTAGGTTGCCCAGAGTCTGCACTGGAGCCTGTGTGGCAACTACAGATTGAAATGAACCATGTGGTATTATGACCACCAAATTCAGAGTGCTCTAGAGCAGGGGTAATCAGTAGGCAGAACGCAGGCGAAATCTGGATCACCAGACACTTTTGAATGGACCCCAAAATCTTATTTACTTATTACCATTACTATTTTCTCTGGAGTCTGGACCTTGACCAAAAAATTTGGACCTTGACAAAAAATAATTGACTACTGCTGCTCTAGAGCATGAAGAGGCTAAGATGTTATGAGATCTGGTAATTGTCACGGACTGAAGGGTGCAGGGAAACAGGCTGGACATAGTGGTTGTAGAAAAGACACAAAATTGTGTTAATTGATATTGCCATTCCAGCAGACAGAAACATACAAAAGAAACAAGAAGAGGAGATGGAGAAAAGTGAAGAACTATGCCACAAAGTGGAACAGTTATGAAAAACTAGAACAAAGATGATCCCAGTAATTATTGGAATGATCCTTAAGGGTATGAATGAGCAGCTCAAGAAGATATTAGGAGTGCAAGACATAACAATCAGTGACCTGCTGAAGACAGCACTCATCATAGGCATTGTGAGAATTTTAAGGGATATACAAGAACAACTGTATTTGAGCACCTAAGATGCAGGAATTCTGTGGAGGGTTTAACAAAACTCCCAACTACCCAAACCCATAGAGTTGGTTCATGATCAGGATTTATTGGAGACTCATGGGGGGAAATTTTCAACAGTAGTGTCCCCCTTTTTATGCTTAAATATATAGTATGTTGTGATGGATATTTGTTTAAAAACAAAACAAAAATATACCCATGATGCGATCCTCAGGGATGAGGAGGAAGAGGAGAAAAATAGTCTCAGTGAGTTCGTTTAGACTCTTCAGGATTTGCAGGATCATGATCAAAAGCAAAATGATGTGCTGCATAATTAATAAATAAACTAAAATATTAAATAATACTTCTAGATAACAGGAAGTATACACATTTAATAACTAATAGAAATGTATCTACAATGAATATGCATGGATTTGTTAGTGTCAGAAAAGACAGTAACTGTACCTGATCTTTTGTGCTAATATTCGGAAGCACCTTACAGAACAATTAGTTATCCCTATGAACTGAGTAACTGGAAGTGCTCATGCTATTGTCCTTCAACCATTACTTTTCCAACATCATTTAAGTGAATAAAACTCTTCTTCATTTGAGATATTTTGATGATTCATTCTTGAAGAGCTGTTCTTCTAATACAAGAATTGATTTTTAACACACTAACACAAAATAAAATAAACAAGGGTTGTTTCACAATTATTAAAAATAAAAGTTACTTTGCCTTAGATTTTATTCAAAGATAAAATAAGTATGCATGAAAAATGCAAAGAATTTGACACTTCACAGATTTAACCTTTTGGGATATATTTAATAAACTGAAAAATATTTATTCATTGTCAGTGTCTTCAAAAATATAATAGAACCTGTTAGATTCTGTGTACCCCTCCCCCTCCCATGCCTTTTCTGTTGGCTGGAAAGTTAAAAGTGTTAAACA